CTCTCGACACAGCAGACTGACTTTCACGACGCCCTGGCTGCTCACCCGGACTGAGTGAACTCCTGCATGACCGCCGCCGTCTCCCGCACCAGCTGTGACACTGGAATGACCTCCTGCCACGTGCAAGGAGTGGGAATGCAAGGTCGCACGAGGGACAGGACAGGGTGAGGGGCGGAGCAAGAGGACGAGCATGCATGGAGGTGCACGGGGGGGGCATGGTAGAGGTCTGGGAAATACGGTTTAAGTGCGAGCATTGCACAAATGGGGCTAGGGGGAGCATCTGAGAGCATGCTATATGCTTATACATGCCTCACCCTGTAAGCACTATAGCATGCCTCACCCTTTACTCGCTATAGCATGCCTCGCCCTGTATGTGCTATAACATGCCTCACCCTGTACGCACTATAACATGCCTCACCCTGTACGCACTATAACATGCCTCACCCTGTATGCACTATAACATGCCTCACCCTGTACGCTCTATAACATGCCGCACCCTTGTACTCGCTATAGCACGCCTCACCCTGTACACGCTGTAGTAGGACTGTGCTGACTTGCGGCTCTTCCTCACTAGCACCCGAGAGTCAGGGCCAATGCCACTGGCGGTGGTGGTGGTGGGGACACAGGGAGGCGACGAACGGAAAAACGCGGGAGGTGGTGATGATTTCTGATCACTGCCAAAATTACCCCACCAGCACATGCAAGTGAGGCTGTGTGTGATACATGGGTGGACGGGGCACATGGGTAAATTGGTATATGACAAGAGAGGACTGGGGTGCTGGGTCGAGGAAGGCTCATACCTGTAGACAACTCCCGAGTTGTCCGTGAGTAGTTGTATCTTCTTCACCTGACACACACACACACACACACACACACACACACACACACACACACACACACACACACACACACACACACACATGTATGGATCCCACAACCACACAATATCCCATCAGACTCTGACATGAATCTGAGAACACGATCAGGAACATAACAAACGGTCACCAGGTTCATTCAGCAGCTGTGTGGCAGCTTCTTTTATATCTCCAGCCATCATCAACCCAATACCGTACACAATCCAACGGTGCAGAAGCACGAGATTCACCGAAGAACTCAACTGGGAGCTCCTTTCGTTAATCCACTGAGTACCGTTTTGACAACCCAGCCGAGAGATTCTATAAGAGCCAGAACGAGGCGTACCGAGGTCTCGTCGATGAGCTCTGTAGGAAGCTTCTTCTCTGTGGCGATCACCACGCCGTTGGTCGCTGCACCGGTGGGATGCGGGAACGGAGAGGTGAAATTGCGGAGAGAGCAAGCAAGGGGGCTGAGCGGGAAAGATCACGCGACAAGTAGGCTCACGTCATGAAAAATCATTGTTAAGTAGACTCAGAAACGGCTCGTGAGGACGCTTTTAGCGAGTGTGACAGCGTTGGAGGTCTGAAGCGGACGGAACGGCACGCACCTTTGATGCCGAGCGACGTGGCACCGGCAGCCACGGCGTTGAGCGCATACTCGATCTGCACCAGCTTCCCCGACGGACTGCGATCAACAAGGAGACCAACAAGGCACACAAGAAATACGTCAGGTACATAACTGATGACCTGCTCTTTGAACTGAAAAGGCTTGAATGAGAATTCTTATTGACAGAATCACACTAGATGGAGGAGGACGGGAGTACGAAGGATGAGGTATGCGAAATTCTCCACCTGAAGGTGGTGAGCGAGAAGGAGTATTGACTATCGCCCATGGCGTCGCCGGATCTGCGACGGCTCGATCCGACTTAGATGCGCCTGAATTCGAATTCAACGAGAATGCGACGCAAAGAAACGGAAGCGACGGAGTAAGCTAGGTATCGCCTGAGTGACCGAGCGAAATCGACGACAGCACCGGCGAGCTGGATGTCTGCCGGACAACACGGGCGTCACTTGGCGAGTCTATCACGCTGTCGATCTGAGGAATGAGAGCTGAATGTGGGACTACAGCGGTAGAGGAATGGAGATTCTACAGATAGTTGCTTCATGATGCAAGCTCCTGACAAAAATGGTTCGAGAGATGTTCACTTTGTATTTGACTAAATGGGTTGAGTGCAATGCTGTGCTTTTATAAGCGGTGACACGTTTCACCATTCTGAACCGCTGTGTTCATTTGTCCCTCGTATCTTCTCCCAAAATTTTGTACGAGTATGTCAACAGGTTCAGTGGAAACAATCAGGTTTACTTAGCTAATCGAGCCTCTAATAACGAAATATTCTGAGAATTTCATGTGGAGTGATCAATACCAGAGCAAGCTAGGCGCCAAATAGGGATTTCCGCCTTCCCCTTCCCCATAGCATCTAATTGTCTCTAGTCTCTGCTCTTACCTTTTCTCAGCCGCCGCTTCAGGAGCTCCGCCGTCAGCTGCGCCGTGTTTACCGCTCGCACATAACTCTCAGAATCGCTGTAGAAATCACGAACGAGGTAGGCGGCATGAAGTGGGCGAGTCTCGAGCCGCTGATCTCCGCGATTCGGGCATTCGTCCCTGAGCTCGCGTCGGCGAAGCACAAAGGCCAAGCGGGTACGCCACTCGCATTCGGGTCGCGTTTCCCGCCTCGCAACTTCTCACATGCGGTTTCTATAACTGATCCCGCCTAGTGGCTTGGCCAGGCGGCCCCATAAGAAAATCATGTCGCTCCGCACCTCTTTTTCTCCGCACCGCTCGTTACAGGGAAGATCGCTGTGATTGGAGGATGTCGCGAGTACACGGGAGCTCCTTTCTTCGCCGCCTTCTCAGCGCTCAAGCTGGTGAGTCTGTCTGTGCAGCTGTCATGAGTACATGAGAGCGCCTCTCATGCCGTGCTGTAGGCTTGTAATGACCACACTTACAAAGAGGCACCAGCAGTGGGTGAGTCTGTGCAGCTGGTAAACGAGTCTTTAAAAGCTGGTGAACGAGGCTTTAAAGCTGGTGGGCTAGCCTGTGCAGCACCTCTCACGCCGATGCTCCCTGCCAATTATCCCCACCCCTTTCCCCGACCCCATTTCTCAACAGTCTCGACCGTCGTTATTCCCTCCTTCCCTTTGTAATTGTCACGCAGGGTGCAGACATAGCGCACGTGTTCTGCTCACGAGAGGCTGCACCAGTCATTAAGGCGTACAGCCCAGAGCTTATAGTGCACCCGGCATTGAGGGAATCTTATGATGTCAGGTAAGCGATTATCCCTTGCTCCCTGAATCTACGAAATTGAGCTGGGCCATACTTTGTGTAATGCTCAGCGCTGCTATCTGTCAATGCCACAAAGCTTTTTGTCCTGCGTCGTCCCTTGATTTCAGGCTTGACACGCCAGGTCAGCGGATAGAGATTGTGGAAGCAGCCGTGAGGACGGTTTCTGATTGGCTGCCGCGGATGGACTGCGTTGTGATTGGGCCAGGCCTGGGCAGGGACTCGCTGCTGCAGGAATGTGTGGCTGACATCATGTCTGCCGCCCGGCAAGCACGCATCCCCATGGTGATCGATGCGGTGAGTTGAGCCTGCCTCGCATCTGAGCTGCTGACGTACATACCCTTAACTATGACCCGAATATATCCACCCCGTACCCTGTCAAGGCACTATCTATTAACGCCATTCCTATCAACCCATTTCTATCTTGCACCACGTGCCTCGGTATGCCCTTGCAGGACGGCCTGCATCTGGTGTCCAACCAGCCTCGTCTCATTTCCGGCTACCCTCTCGCCATCCTCACACCCAACGTCAACGAGTTCGCTCGCCTCTCCCAGGCTGTGGAATCTCAGCGTGATCCCACAGCAGCTGCAGCAGCAGCTGTCCCTGCCAGTTCGCTCGCCCAGCTAGCAGCAGAGTGGGTATTTTCTTGTGACATAAGAAAGCATTTTATTGCGATGCTGTGGCTGGTTAGCTGCCACACTCATTCTTATCCCAACTGTTATTCTACGTGTTTCGTTCTCCCTTGCCGTTTGCAGCCTTGGAAGTGTCACCATAGTGCAAAAAGGAGCAGCTGATGGCATTTCGGATGGAGATGCAGGTACTTTACCGAAGAGTCCACCATGCATTACCACTGCAACCCTTTACACACCGCTCATACTCTCTGCATTCCTTTGCCACCCCACCAGTTTTCGAGTGTGGCCTCTTTGGATCTCCCAGGCGTTGTGGCGGTCAAGGGGATGTGCTCTCAGGAAGGTGCGATGCAATACATTCTGTGCCTATCTGATCTGTTAATGACCGGTAAGCAAGGGCCGTGTTGCTGGGCTGCTCACATCACCTCATGACCTCTTGACGTGTTGACATGGATGTGCGGGTTTCCCTGCTTCCAGCATTGCAGTGTTTTTCGTCTGGGCCCGCAAGTGGCAGCAGCGGCTACAGGAAGAACAGCAGCAAGGAGGTGGTTCCTCCGATGCTGAGATGCAGCAGCTGGTGGCGGAGCAGTTGTCAGACAATCCAGCAGTCATGGCGGCGTTTGCAGGGTCGCTGGTGGTGAGAAGAGCGGCAGCAGATGCATTCGCCAAGCACAAGCGCAGCATGACAACGACCAACATAATTGAATGCCTTGGCGACTGGTAAGGAAATACAACCTGGTCTACATTACATCGTACCACCAATCCATGATGTGTACTTCTGTCAGTTGCCTTAACATGTTTCTGGTGTGTGTGTGGTGTCTTTTTTCCTGCCATTTTGCCCTTACAGTGTTGAAGACCTTTTCCCTGTTGGTCCGTGGGAGCCACAGCCAAACCTGTGATTGAACATGTGTGGATAATGTGGTTTAGGTTGTCTGCCCTGCTCTATTCCACATGTACAGCAACAAAATTGTGGGAATGGAATATACCGTATACCTTCAAGCGTCACAACAAAATGTAAAGATAATCTACCAATACTGCTAGTGCTGAAAGAAGAGTGCAGCGCATGTAGAACAGAGGAAGCCCACAGAATCATAATGAAGTGTTGGGTCACGAGGGAGAGATGGCAATCCCAACGACAGGCAGCTTCCTAGGAGAGCCTTGCCCTCAACAAGCCTTCTAGAAGGCATTCTCCTGTTCCTGCCCCACCTTGCGCCCGAGCACATCACGAAGGAAGGGCCAGCGGATATGGGCCAGGGAGCGAGTGAGCAGCGGCACCCCGAACTCCATATTGGAGCTCTGCAACACGCGAATTCACCGCATTAGCACAGCCACACAGTGATCAGGCAACTCAAAGGACAACCAAGATGGGTTGATCCATTTGTGGAGTTGCAACAAAAATTGGATAAACTTACCATTGTGCAGGTGCCAATGTCAGTGCGGCAGACGGGATACTGCTGAGGGCAGCAGTGCTGGTGGTCGTCGCAGCAGGTGGCATGCTCCATGGGGCAGCATCCCCATGACAGGCACACCTTTCCAAGAGGGAGACCACAGCAGCAGGTGGTGCCGTGGGGGCACTCGTGCTTGCGGTCACACACCTCAGGAGAGGGAGGAGGAGTAGGAGGAGGCTGAGGGCCGGGAGGTGGGTTGGGCCCCTTCTTGATAGGGTAGGATGCCTGCATGATGCCAACCACAAGGGGATGTGAGTGGAGCACTTGAATACCCACATGGGGGAGCCAACGGAATTACGTCACAGACAACAGTCAATAACAACGTTCACGTGGGGAATCAAGAGAAACCAAACAAGGTGTCAGACACCGCACCTGCATAGCGATACCGCACTGGCCTTCCTCAGCTTCGACGTTCCTGACCAGCCTGATGTAGCCGTGGTCACCCCAGCGAGGACCCCACGAGTTCTTCACAATCCAGTAATCCGTTCCGTTCTCTGTGCCGTATCCGACGGCCAGGACGTCATGGTCCAGATCTGTGCCGCACTCGCCGTCGAAAATACCCTGCAAAATTACCATATTTGAAATATTAACTTTGACATGAGCAGGGAAATGCTCCGCTTAGTGTTAATTGTTCGTCTAACGCCACTTACACTCGAATAGAACTGGAATTCCCGGCGATCCGCCTCGATTGCGACGGAAACAGGCTGAACCGCGAGCGCCTTCTCGAGGCCGGCCTCGCTGTTGTTAGGAACGTCTTCGTAGTCGTCAATTGTAACAACGTGGGTGTTCATCTGTACGTGAAACGACGGATCTGTGTCAGTTCATGGTTCCTTATATACAGGCGTCGTTTGTATTTTTGTGGTTGAAACAATCACTTACCTTCGCCTTGTTGCACTTGTGCGCGGTTGCGTCGTAAGGATAATCCTCCTCGGTGTCAAGACCGCCGTTCTTAATGATGAATTCGAACGCGAAGTCCATAAGTCCACCACCACAACCCTGATCCTTCTTCGTGTCGCAGTCAACCAGCTCCTGCTCTGACAGCGAAATCAGCTCGCCAGTCACAATCTTGTTAATACCTTCGACAGCTCCAGTAGTCGAAAACGCCCAGCAACTCCCTGTGAGACACCAGAATAAGAAGTTCAGCAACGGTCTGTAAGATTTATCAAACTTTGCTACGAGTTGTTAAAAAAACATAAAGTAGACACCATGGTTAGAGGTTCAGTGACGTTACCGCATTGACCCTGATTCTTGACTTCAGTCACTGCTCCCTCCTTCCGCCAATCGACTTCCTCGGGAGCGTTCACGTCAGCGTGCATGAAGTTTCCGCGAAGCGGCCTGCCGCTGCGAGAATCCATGTCCTTACGGAAGCCCAAGCGCGTCGACTTGAACTCCTCGTGCGACAGGTGAGCGAACTCATTGAGAGCAAGAGTAAACTTCTTGCCCTGCGAGTTCAGGTTGTGAACGAAGTGCAGGTTATCCACGAACGTGCGAAAGCGCGATTCCTTCTCAGCGACCCCGAAAACCATGCCGTGCTTCACGGACCATCGCTCGAACAGGGCCTGCAGCGAGACTTCATTAGTTAAGTCCGAAGGAACGTAGCCCAGATCGGCACGAGCAGCGCTGACCAGACAGCACCAAGCAACCAGAGTCACGACCAGCGTAGCAGACGCCATTGCGGAGGCCTGGACAGACAATATGTGATCAAACCCAAGAAACTACCGAGATCAAACTGAGTATGACAGAAAGAAGACGGCATATTGCTTCTTATAAGTTCCTCTGTGTCACCCCGGACACGCCACCTGCCATCCTAAACCCGAACCTATAGCATTACGCTTGGCAACAACAATGGTTTTGAGACCTTGACGTTCGGGAGTTTGCGAGTGCTCACGACGTTCGCCACTGACGGCTTTGCCTTAGCTAACGAGCGTCGCGCATCTCGAAAATGTTGCTCCAGTTCATGATGTACGTACGTGGTTGTCCACCAGCCCCAGCCGCGTTCAGAAGAGGCAGATGTGGCACATCTGACTCAGCACTGCGTGGACAGCAGCATAAGTAGCCTGGTCGGTGATCGTAGTCTGTACGATAGAGGACGTACAGCACTAGATGATCGTAACCTACGGTAGAGGACGTACAGCACTCAGTGATCGTAGCCTCTACATCCTCTACTCCGAGTGCGGAACAGCAGCAGAGGGGTGTTGCCTCAGATGCTGAAATGCGGCACCTGGTGGTAGAGCAGCTGTCGGAAAATCCAGCAGTCATGGCGGCGATGCCGGATCGCTGGTAGTGAGGAGGGCGGCAGCAGCTGCCTAGGCGGAACCGCAGCATAACAAACGACCAATACTGGCGACTGGTAAGGAAAGAAGGGCGGGTCAGGCCTAGTTTGTATTGAGATCAAGTATCAGTGCTCAGACTGGTGAGGAGCGGTTGAAAACGGTTAAGCAGGCAAACCGCTGTAGGATGCATAGCATCTTTTCCAACGCGTATACTGAACCGATACTGAACCAAGTGTGACCCGTCCCAATTATTGGTGGTGCATTGTACAGTAACATGATGCTGTTTTCTTCCAACCTCATAGTTTTGGTGTGAGTGGTGTCATTTATGCCAACTGTTTTGCCCTAGACAGTGCCAAGTACTTTGTTCCTCTAGGTCCTTGCGAGCCACAGCCAAAACTCTAGGATGATGTGGGTAATTGTTCTCTTCTCTGTTCAACATGTAGGCTATGTGAGTCAAATCTACCTCATCAGGCTCTGAAACAGGGTGTACAGGAGTGCTAATAAGGCAGTACTAAAAGAAGTGTGTGGCACATGCTACCCACACCACCTCAACAGAGAGCCCAAAGTATCATAATCATGTGTTGGGTCGTGAGTGAGGGAGGCAGACAGCAGTCCTGAAGGACAGGCATCTTCCTAGGAGAGCCTTGCCCTCAACAAGCCTTCTAGGAAGCATTCTCCTGTTCCTGTCCCACCTTGCGCCCGAGCACATCGCGCAGGAACGGCCAGCGGAAATGGGCCTGGGAGCGAGTGACCAGCGGCACTCCAAACTCCATGTTGGGGCTCTGTAGCACACGGAATCACCACATTAGCATAGCCATACAATGATTAAGTTCAGAGAAGGAACCAAGACGGGTTGGCGCATGTGTAGAGCTTGGATGAACTTACCATTGTGCAAATGCCAATGTCAGTGCGGCAGACGGGATACTGCTGAGGGCAGCAGTGGTGGTGGTCGTCGCAGCAGGTAGCATGCTCCATGGGGCAGCATCCCCACGACAGGCACACCTTTCCAAGTGGGAGACCGCAGCAGCAGGTCGTGCCGTGAGGGCACTCATGCTTGCGGTCACACACCTCAGGAGAGGGAGGAGTGGGAGGAGGCTGAGGGCCAGGAGGTGGGTTGGGCCCCTTCTTGATAGGGTAGGATGCCTGCATGATGCAAACAAAAAGGGAATGTGAGTGGAGCAGTCGAATACTCGCATGAAAGAGCCTAAGGAATTACGTCACAGACAACAGTCAATAACAACGTTCACGTGGGACATTAAGAGGAACCAAACCAGGTGCCAGACACCGCACCTGCATGGCGATACCGCACTGGCCTTCCTCAGCTTCAACGTTTCTGACCAGCCTGATGTAGCCATGGTCACCCCAGCGAGGACCCCACGAGTTCTTCACAATCCAGTAATCCGTTCCGTTCTCTGTGCCGTATCCGACGGCAAGAACGCCATGGTCCAGATCTGTGCCACACTCGGCGTCAAAAATTCCCTGCAATATTACAAGATTGAAACTGTTAGCTTTGACATGAGCAGGGAAATGCTTCTATTAGTGTAGATTATTCGTGTTACGCCACTTACACTCGAATAAAACTGGAATTCCCGGCGATCCGCCTCGATTGCGACAGAAACAGGCTGAACCGCGAGCGCCTTCTTGAGGCCGGCCTCGCTGTTGGAAGGAACGTCTTCGAAATCGTCAATTGTGACAACGTGGGTGTTCATCTGTACGTGAAACGACAGATCCATGTCAGTTCATGGTTCCTTATACCTTTACACATTGGTTGTATCTGTATTATGAGAATCACTTACCTTAGCCTTGTTGCACTTGTGCGCTGTTGCGTCGTAAGGATAATCCTCCTCCGTGTCAAGGCCGCCGTTCTTAATGATGAATTCGAACGCGTAGTCCATGAGGCCACCACCACATCCTTGATCCTTATTCGTGTCGCAGTCAACCAGCTCCTGCTCTGACAGCGAAATTAGCTCGCCAGTCACGATCTTGTTGATACCTTCGACAGCTCCAGTAGTGGAAAATGCCCAGCAACTCCCTGCGAATCACCAACATAATAAGTCAGCAAGTGCCTGTAAGATTTAGCAATTTTTGCGGCGAATCGTAAAGAAAAACAAAAAGTAGACACGATGGTGAAAGGATCAGTGACGTTACCGCATTGACCCTGATTCTTGACTTCAGTCACCGCTCCCTCCTTCCGCCAGTCGACTTCCTCAGGAGCGCTGACATCAGCGTGCATGAAGTTCCCGCGAAGCGGCCTGTCGCTGCGAGAGTCGATGTCCTTACGGAAGCCCAAGCGCGTCGACTTGAACTCCTCGTGCGACAGGTGAGCGAACTCATTGAGAGCAAGAGTAAACTTCTTGCCCTGCGAGTTCAGGTTGTGAACGAAGTGCAGGTTATCCACGAACGTGCGAAAGCGCGATTCCTTCTCAGCGACCCCGAAAACCATGCCGTGCTTCACGGACCATCGCTCGAACAGGGCCTGCAGCGAGACTTCATTTGTTAAGTCCGAAGGAGCGTAGCCCAGATCGGCACGAGCAGCGCTGACCAGACAGCACCAAGCAACCAGAGTCACGATCAGCGTAGCAGACGCCATTGTGGAGGCCTGGACCATCTGTGATCAAACCCACGAAACTACCGAGATCAAACTGAACATGACAGAAAGCAGACAGAAAATAGCTTCTTGTAATTTCCTGTGTCACCCTGGACACGCCACCTGCCATCCTGCCTCCCCCCGTTATCCCAAACCAAACTCCCAGTTGATGTCCTCCTAATCCCAAGCCAAGCTGGAGAACCTCTCCCGAAAGCGCCGCCCTTGGGAACTGGAACGGTTGAGACCTTGAAGTTACGGGAGTCTGCGAGCGCTCACGACATTCGTAAATGAGGGCTTCCCCAAGTTAGCGAGCGTCGCACATTCACGAAATCGTCGCTCCGGTTTTCATTGCACATTTGTCAACCAGCCCTAGCCAGGTTCAGACCAAGGGGCAGATGTGGCACGGCTGACACAGCACTCCGTGGACAGCAGCAAAAGTAGCTCAGCCTGGTCCCCACTTACACCTTTTCAGCAGTGCCTTGTCTCACGATTGGCGGATAAAGTTGGTATTGTTCAGGATATTGCCACGCGACACCACTTTGAGAGCCGTCGATCTGCGGCACATCTTCAATCAATCTGAAGAGCGAGGCGAGCAACCCTATGCCTGACAGGTTTGGCTTCCAGTGTGAAACGAAATTGAATATGTGCAGGTTAGCTCACAACCACACGAGACCATTCCGGAAGCGGTGAAATCCAACTGCGCCGTAACAAACCCCTGTGGTACATGTCGCACATTCAGAAGTTCTATGCGAGTTACAATCTGATTCGCCGGTGTCGCCAGCCTGCGAAATCCTGGACGACAACCCTCTTTTATCAGGGATTCGCAGAACCACTCTTCCTACCGGGGCAGAGCACCAATTGTACCTTACAACACCGCTACTAATGTAGGGAGTTTTCTAGGGCGCCAGAGGGGCGAGAAGAAGCAGGATCCAATTCAACAGCTTGTTTCGCGGCTAGGGTTGGTTGGGCTCTCATTGGGCAGCACAGCCGGTCCGGAAATTGGAAGATTTCGGGGCCACGTTGCAAACTAATCGAAGAACGGCTTCGCGTCATATTCCTTTCATATTGACGGTCAGCGCTCACGGCCTTCAGCGTTCGCCCCTCCAAATCACGTATGCGAGCTTTCTGGAGGTGGACTACGAGAATTATCGCCATGTGGTCATCAGACCGCTAAGGTAAGATGATCAATCAGAGTGAAGCTATGCCTTTCAAGAAGCTGACATGCGGCAAAGAGGGGATTCACTCAGGAGCAAAGACATGGGGGGACGCAAGGAGGAGAGGTGGGGAGGAAGGGTAGTATTCAGAAAGAGTCGTCAATGTAGTATCCAATGTTACCGTATGGGATTCTTAGGACTCATTCTCTAGCGCAGCCGCGTTATTCTGTAAAGCTTCCTGCTTCCTCTCCCCCAACACTCCTCAACCTACAGCTCCCCATGTCAATGCAGCAGTAGCCTGCCATCCGAGCCTCGCTGCTCTATCCTCGGCATGGCCGAGCCTGTGACTCTGGGTCGGTTTGTCGGAGCGTTGGGCAAGACATGGGCGCTCATAGGCGCCCTCTATCTCTTTGACAAGTACTCGCCTCTCGGCTGGTGGACGTTTAAACCTCGCCCTAAGGTGGGTTGCGTGTCCTACGTTCACATCCCATCGTAAATGCAACCTGGTACACCATTCCTTCTCATATGGTCTCTTACTCTCCCTATAGCAACCCTTATTAATCCCTTCCCCCCTTCCTCTCCCCCTCCTCCTCCCGGTGCTTCTGTGCCTTCCTCCCTTTCCGCCACTGAACCACTCGCAGGAGGAGAGGGCCATGGCGCACTTATACGAGAGGGGCCCCACGCCCTTCCCAGGGGACGCAGCAGCCGGCGACCCGCACGCAGTGGACCGTTACTTTGAGCGCGGCGGTGTCGCAACCACCGTCGTGCCGGCGCGGTTCCGCCAGTCCTCTTCTGCTGGCAGCGCTGGCGCTGACATGGAGGGTCGGCGGGCGGCGGAGGATCAGCGGGTGAAGCGGGAGGCGCTGAGGCTGTGGCTGCGCATGAGGAGGGAGGCAGAGAGGGAGCTGAAGGCACAGGGTTATGATCCAATGCAGTGAGGCTGTGAGGGGATGGGGGCTTACTTTATGTTACAAGAGTGTATTCATGGGGACGGAAGAAGTGGTGCATTTGTGATTTGAAGGAACAGTGGCTTGTGAAAGGTGCTGATGCTGTGGCTGTGTCGGGTAGCAGGCCAAAGGGGGTGACAGCATAGTGAAAGTCTTCTAGATAAGGCCGCAAATTCTGGATTCAGCCATGTCTTTTCGTGCATGGCTGAATCTCAAACCAGATTAGTCATGGAATCTGTACAAGCGATTTGGATTAATGTGGCTGTATCATCACTCAGGTGGGTTGGGTTGGGTGGGTGAGTGAACGGGGTGATGGGAGGGGTGGGTAAGTAGTGGATTGGTTGGAGGTGAGCAGTCGTAGTTGTTGTTGGTTCATTGGGAGGCTGTTGGGTGGTGGGTGGTGGTTTGGGTGGGTGTATTCGGGGTGGTGGACTGGTTGAGATGCAGTGGGATGGGCAGTGTGGGCTGGACAGGAGGTAAGGGGTTAGAAGTGTAGGGGAGGTAGGGTGGGATTGGATAGGGTGACGAAGACAGGCTGAGATGGGAAAGGTCGGGCAGAGAAGGTGAGACGGGATGGTAAACAGAGTGGAGAAAGGGTGTGACAGTCAACAGCAGCGAGCGCATGATAATGGGTGCATGCAGGTACCGGCACGTGGTGCGGTGTGATTATACACTTGTGCACATGAATCAGCATCGTACTGTATTGTGTGCAGTTTGTCTTGCGGTGTGTGGAACTGCTTACCGTACTGTCATCATGAAGCGAAGGTATAGGTCAATTTATGCAAAAAGAAAATAAAACCAACATAGGCGGTAATGTTTTGGCTCCATCAAATACAACTCCTTTTTGTACATAAGGGAAGATATTTATGGCATAGGGAAGATTCATGGCTTTCTCGGTTCACCACCTTGAGTTGCTGTCTTATCCAGAACACGAAAGATATTCAAGTTCTCAGAATACTAGCGTAAGAATGATGCATTGAAAGAAACAGTTGGGTACAAGTAGCTAACCCTAGTTGGGTTTGTACCCTGTATTGGCTACCCCACTACAGCCTACCCACATATATATAACACATTACAACTTAACACACCCCCATAGGCAAAGTGGGGGAGAGCAAAGGGTCACAAGACCAGTCCAGCAAAGCAAAACAAGCCCAGGGTGGATCACAACGTCACCACACTCCGAGCACAAGCAAAGGCCACAAGGCCAGTTCACATGCAGTGCTAGATATAGAACAGGACAAGCAAAAAGATATATATAAAGTACAGTACAAAGAAAGTCAAGCAGTAAGCAAATGAGGAAACGTGGACACAAGGCCTAAAGAAGTACAGTGCCGCTGATGATCACTAGGCGGGAGCGCCTTGGTGAAGATATCAGCAGTGTTGGCCTTCGAGTCCACGTACACAAGCCGAAGCTGACCGCGCTGCTGAAGCTCTCGAGCAAGAAAGTAGCGAAGAGCAATGTGCTTCGTCCTGTGCTCCAGTCTGTGCTCCTAACACAAGGCAAGGGCCGCCTTGTTGTCACCGTACAGAACTGGAGGAGAACTAGGCCGCTCTCCCAAGTCAGTCAGCAGGTAGGTGAGCCAGCGTAACTCCTGTGCAGCCATGGCCGTGGCGTAGATCTCAGCCTCACAACTAGAGCTGAGAACAGAAGAAGAGCGGGTGGACCGCCACGAGACAGAACCAGAGCCAAGGCTGAAGGTGTAACCCTGTGACGACCGCTGCGTAGCCAGGTCGTCCACCCAAGAAGCGTCCGAGTGACCAGTGAGGACAACTCTGTCGCGTCCTCCAAGCACCAGCCCCATGCCTGATGTACTGCACAAGTAACGCAGCACCCTCTTAGCAGCCTCCCAGTGCTCTCGCCTGTGTCTCCCAGGCGCAACGTAACGAGCAAGGATGCTAAGAGGGTACGCGAGGTCAGGTCGCGTGCAAGTCATCAGGTACATGAGGCAGCCTACAAGCTCTGGGTACGGGCCACTCGGCTCTACGGACTCGTCCGAAGGTGGAGCTGAGAGCGAGTGGCTGGTAGCCAGAGGTGTGGCCTGTGGTGAGGAGAACTGGAAGCCGAAGCGCTGAAGGACCTGCTGCACCATGTGTGACTGAGTCAGGGTGATGGTGCGGCGTGCTCTGTCCCGGGTGATCTGCAAGCCAAGGTAGCTACGCAGCTCACCTAGGTCAGTGCAGGTGTGTCTCTTCTGCAGCTCCGACTTCACACGAGCGAGTGCCTCAGTGTCAGCAGTAGCAAAAACCAAGTCGTCGACGTACACGAGGATGTAGAACGGCGGCAGCGACGTGTCTGTGCGCAGGAACAGTGACGGGTCAGCAGTGGAAGGAGCAAACCCAAGGGCCGCAAGTGTAGTCCTCAGTGTGTCGTGCCACTCGCGCGGTGCCTGGCGGAGACCGTAGACTGGCCGCCGGAGGCTCCACTGGGTACCAGGAGGAAACGACCCAGTAAAGCCAGGTGGGCGGCGCAGCCAGATCTCCTCGTGCAGGCTGCCCTGCAAGAACGCTGTGCTGAAGTCAAGAGAGTGAAGCTCGTAGTCACGCTGAGCAGCAACGTGCAGCAGCACCCGAAGAGTGGTCATCTTCGGGGTGGGGGAGAAGGTCTGAAAGAAGTCAACCCCCTGACGCTGACTGAAGCCTCTAGCAACGTAACGAGCCTTGAAGACAGGTGGAGAACCTGGCGGCCGCTTCACCCTGAAAATCCACATGCCATCGACGATGTTCGCCCCAGGAGGGGGAACCTCGTCGACGTAGGTGCCTGTGGACTTCCAGGATGCCATCTCTGCGTCCATGGCTGTCTGCCACTGAGAGGAGTAGGGACCCGAGATCGCCTCTGCGTAAGAGCGCGGAGTGGGGATGTCTAGTGCATCCGGGTCTCCCTCAGGGGCAAGCAACCAGGCCACGAGATGAGGTACAGCAGCCGCAAGAGAGTCAAAGTCCTCCTGCCTGTCCTCAAGGACGTCCGTGCCAAGAGCACACTCACCCCCGACGGACGGAGGACAGACAGACTCAGACCCAGCAACAAGACTGGCGGCGTAGTCTAGACGACAGGCAGCAGCAAAGTCGACAAGCTCAGCGACCAGGGCAGACGCAGCAGAAGACTCAAACGACGGGTCAGTGACAACAGTGGCGAGAAGACGCGTAACAGTAGGGTGGGCAGCACGAACACTGTCAGACTCAGGGTCGGGAACCTCAGGAAGAGAAGACGCAGGAGGAGACGGTAGGGGGACACGCTGTGGACCAGTGGAAGGACGAAGGGCCATAATATGCGTGCCAGGAACAGGAGGAGGACGCGGACGCGCGACACGACGACCAGTGGGACCAGTGCGCGCAGTGCGAGCAGTGCGAGCAGCACGAACAGGCGAGGCAGGACGAGACACAGGCTCACGACGCTCCGTAAGCGAGTCCGGCTGTGCAGTGTAAGGCACAGGAGCAGGGAGGGGGGAGCCAGGCTGGAGAGGAAGGCCAGTGGAAGACGGGAGGGAAAGAACCTGGCGAAGCACCGTGTCAGGCGGTGGCAAAGCCGACGGCGACGGTGGAGCGAAGAACAGGCGCGACGGCGGAGCTCCGCCAGCACCTCCAGCACCCGCAGCACCAGAAGCACCAGGACCAGCACCCCCCGCCGCAGCACCCCCAGAGCCGGCGACGTCAGCACCAGAGGCCTCAGCAGCGGCAGACCTCCCCTCGCCAGCACCTCCAGAGCCAGCAGGACCAACGTCTCCAAGACCGTCAGCTCCAGTGTCGTCAGCTCCAGCACCTCCAGGAAGAGCACCCCCAGCGCCGGCAGCGCCAACTCCGCCAGTACCGCCAGCCCCAGAGGCCCCAGCTCCAGCAGCTCCAGCCTCAGTGCTCCCAGAACAACCAGCCCCGGCAGCTCCAGTACCTCCAGTACGAGCACCTCCAGGACGAGCAGCTCCAGAACCGCCAACTCCAGCAGGGCCACGAGGACGGCGAAAGCGCCGGACGTACCAGTCACGAAGCTGCTGCGGTGTGAGAGACGGCTCAGCACCCCGAACCGGAGCACCCCCAGACGCAGCAACCCCAGGCTCCGTAGGCTCAGTCGCAGCACCCCCAGGCTCAGTACCCTCAGGCGCAGCACCCCCAGGCTCAGCACCCCCAGACTCAGTACACCCAGGCTCCGTACACGCAGGCTCAGCACCCCCAGTCGCAGCACCCCCAGGCTCAGCACCCCCAGGCTCCGTACGCTCAGGCACCGTACCCTCAGCTCCAGCACCCTCAGTCCCAGCACCCGCAGCCCCAGCACCCCCAGGCCCAGCACCCCCAGGCTCAGCACTCCCAGCAGCACCACCCGCAGCAGCACCTGAGTCACCTGTGACCTCGACAGGCTCAGCGACGGGAGGAGGGTCTACCTGAGAGACACCTGAAGGAGCAGGACCCTGAGGGGGGAGGGGGTCTACCGGAGGGGGACCAGGAGCAAGGAAAAGCGGCGGGGGAGGGAGGGGGGCAGTGCGGTAGGGGAAGAGACGGTAAAAAGGGACCGACTCGTCAAAGGTGACGTCCTGAGAGGCGAAGACCCGGCGCGAGGTGGGGTGGTAAAACTGCCAGCCAGGCGCGTCAGGGACAAAGCCAAGGAAGACACAGGGAAGCGTGCGGGAGGAGAGCTTGTCCGCGGACGTATTGCGGACAAGGGCACGAGCACCCCACACCTGGAAGCGCAACGCATCGCCAACCTCCCCCGTCCAACGCAGTGTAGGCGAGGTCTCCGGCAAGGAGACACGGGGCCAGAGGTTGAGCTGATGCGCAGCGTACCGGACAGCAAACGGCCACAGAAAATGGGGAGCCGCCGCATGGACCAAGGAGGTACGAGCGACCTCCATGACCAGGCCAATGCGGCGCTCAGCAACCCCATTCTGCTGCGGGGAGTCCGGAAGCGTGAAGGTCTGCTCAATGCCCTCCGCCTGACAGAAGGTCCTCAAGAGGTCGGAGGAGAACTCACCACCTCTGTCAGAGTGCAGACGCAGGACAGGAAGGCCTGTCCGGAAACGGCGGTGGAGCTGGAGACGAACTGTGCGGATCCAAGGGATCAGAACAGCAGGGACCTCACCCTTGGTGCGCAAGGGGAAGACCGTGGTGTAACGCGAGTAGTCGTCGACAACCAGCAAAAAGTACCGCTCACCGCCCTGGCCACGAACGCGGGCTGGGCCCCACACGTCCAGGTGGAGGGTCTGCAGAGGAGCCTCTGTCGGGGGGAACGAGGAGGAGTGAGGAGCGGCGCGCTGCCGCCCCTCGACGCAAGGAAGGCAGGGCGGCGCAGGCGAGGCAGGGAGGGGAGGGAGGGACCTGGGAAGACCAGACACAAGGTGGCGACGGTGCATGCCACGGAGGCGTGGCAAGGAGGGGTGACCCAGGCGGTGGTGCCAGAGAAGAGTCTGGTGCGACAGGGAACGACACTCACAGGCGTGGGCTACCAGACCTGACGCGGACACCTGACCGACAGCAGCGACCTGAGGAGACGCAGTGGTCAGTGTGTAGAGACTCGATCCCGGCTGACGGGTAAACGTAGCCAGGTGACGGCCGGTCCTGGAGCACGTGAGGATCGCCACACGCTGTCCTCCAGGGGTGAAGGTGTCAACCCACTGATCCTGGATGACAGCGTTGCTCACCAGGTTCGTCGAGAACGAGGGGAGGTGGAAACCCGACAACGAGCCAGACGGAACCGCCGGGCACGGAAGCACAGTGGTGGACCGTGCAAGGACTGGGCCCCCCGAGGGGTCAGCCAGGGAGACTGGGACCGGTGCAGGAAGCGGTGTGAGCTCAGTACTGTCACGAAAGAAACAGCGAGAAGCACCTGAGTCAAGGGTGAAGGTGTGCAAGGCCTCAGCGGGTGCAGTACCTGAGAGAGCAGTCTCTGTGGGTGCTGTACCTGAGAGAGCAGACTCACAAGCAGCAGGGACAGCACTGGAGGGAGCAGACACAGAGGGCACCATACCAGAGAGAGCAGACTCACTGGTACCTAGGGGAGCGGGCTCTATACCTGGGTCAGGCGGCACACACAAGTAACAGTCTCCCTCGGCACTAACAGTCAATGCATACATGGCAGCAATAATAGCATCATAGTCAAGAGCAAAGATATCAACACCAGCCCTCATCAGCTCCGCCCAGCAGGGGCGCTCAACATCCTCGCCCATCTCCTCACGCCAAGCGTCGTCAAGGCGGGAGAAGCAGCGGTACGGGGTGTGGAACCTCCCACACGTCTGTCCCTTGCGGTCACCTGTGCGAATGACATAGGAACAGCGGCCACTGCCCCCCGACGTCCCACGCTGAGCAAGCCACTCACGAAGCTGCTGGGTCGACTGGGGACGCTGCTGCGGCTGGGAGCTCTGGCCCGAGCCAGTGCCACCACTCCGACCTCCGCCGCCACCACCACCTCCGCTCCGACCGCCACTGCCGCTACCGCCACCGCCGCCACTGCCACCGCCGCCACCGCCGCCGCCGCCACCACCGCCACCGCCCCTCCGCCGGCCACCGCCTCTCCGCTGCCGACCCCACTCCCACCAGCACTCCCGCCACCGCTCCCTCCAGCACCGCCTCCCCCCCCACCTCCCCCACCTCCTCCCCCCCCAGCGCCACCCCCGCCACCCTTGCCCCCCTTGCCCTTGCCGGTGCGGCGCCTCCCACCAGGAGCAGAAGCAGCGCCAGCAGACTCAGCACCAAGGAAGTCAACAGCAGCAGCAGTAGCATAGGAGGGAGCGAGGGGAGAGGGAGAGCACCCCTCAAAGATGGGGGTGCGAGGAGCGCCGCGAGCAGCACCTACAGCTACAATGCTCTTCTCGGCTGCTAGCAGCTTCTCCTCTAGGAGGGCGACAGTGAGCTCAGTGGGACAGCGAGCAAGGAAATAGTCGCGCACTGAGCTGAGGGTGTCAGGGAGACGGGTGACTATGAAGTGGAGTGTCCAGTACAGTGGAGGGGGGTTCTTAGCGCAGAACTCAGTGGGAAGGGCGGCACGCAGGCGAGCGTCACTAGTGCGAAGGTGGGTGATAAGATCGGCGACTGTAGCAAAGGTGGACAGCTCAGGGAACAGGTAAGGCAGCATGAGGCGGCTAAGCTCAGCTGTGGCCGGTGAGGAGTAGCGAGCAACGACAGCGTCGTACAGGGCCTTAGCGGATTTGCAGTCGCCAAAATGCTCGAGCTCAGCTAACGGCAGGTGACTGCGAATGGCTAGGCGAGCAGCTGCGTCACGAGTCTGCCAGTGGGAACGAACACTAAGCTCAGCTGTGGCAGGAGGGGCAGGCGCAGCACCAGACGCATAATCATAGAGCGACACATGCTCCTTGCTATCGCTCAGGAGGAACAGCTGCAGGTCATCTAGCCAAGTGGTGAACTGCACAGGGCGGCCCTCAGCATCGAACGACAGCACGCGGATGGAAGCCATAGCGACAGTATGACAGAGCAGCGCAAGCTACCGCAGCAAGGGTGGGCAATTGCGCACGGGTAGGGAGCAGCAGGCGGCGCTGCAAGCGGGCAGCGCGGCGGACAGGCGGCTCTGTGGACGGGCAGCGCGGCAGGCAGGCGGCGCTGCAGGCGGGCAGCGCGACTGGCGGGCGACTCCGCAAGCGGGCAGCGCGGCGGGCGGGCGGGCAGCGCGACGGGCGGCGCAGAGCACAGCGGGCGGCGCGCGGGGCTGCAAGGCAGCTCGACGGGCTGCGCGGGGCAGAGCGGGCGGCGCGCGGGGCTGCAGAGCCGAGCGACGGGCAGCGCGGGGCAGAGCGGGCGGCGCGACGGGCAAAGCAGGGGAGGGGGAGGCGCGCGGGGCTCTGGGCTGACATTACGCCGGTCGGCAGGGCGCACGAGGGCGCTACAAGGGCGCTACGAGGGCGCTAGGGCGCAACGAGGGCGCTACGAGGGTAGGGCGCGGGGGTAACGCGGTAACCGCAGCGTGCGGTGGTGGGCCCTAAAAAAAACGATCGGATGGTCCTAGGGACCACCTGCTCTGAATACCATCTCAGAATACTAGCGTAAGAATGATGCATTGAAAGAAACAGTTGGGTACAAGTAGCTAACCCTAGTTGGGTTTGTACCCTGTATTGGCTACCCCACTACAGCCTACCCACATATATATAACACATTACAACTTAACACAAGTATGGGCCGAGCCTCAAGGCCTGCGAAATATATCATCAAACCAGATCAAGAAATCGAGGCTCGAGAGTTTCAGAGAACATAAGCCCTAATTGGACGGCACAGAATGGTTCAGCAACCTGCCACACCATAGGTCTGGTCAGGTTTTTAAAGGTTTTAAAGGTTTTAATAAGGTCGTGACCTTTTACAAACATGCCGCTAGAGCAGGATACAAGCAAAGCCTAGCTCCCCGTAGGGAGCACGTGTGAGCACGTTATCCTTCCGCTACTGGAGCAGAGATGTCACCGGACAAATCTCTAGCAAACACGTGGTAAAGACAGGAGTCTGACGTCAAGGTGGATGGAAAACATCGTTGATGAGCCAAGTGTCGCGGAGCTCAGGGTGGATGATCGGGCAGTTGGGTTCCGGGAATTGGAAGAAGCGGTGGGAATGAGCCAGCTTGGCAATCCTGATGGCCTTGTTTTTCTTCTTCTTGGATCCTTTGGAGAGCTTCCACATGAGTATCTTATAGGCAAGAAGGAAGTAGTGTAGAACCTGAAATAGCGCGTCCCCAGTTTTGGTAACCACCTGTCTGTACCGAAAACTGCATCGTGCGTTCCAGATCGTTTTCGCTGCAGCCCCCACAAGCAGGCTCCATGGGGCTCCTTGGCCGGCCGAGGACGTGAGTGGAAACAACGTTAATTCGGGGGAGGTAGAAACTCCCAGATGCCTTTGGGCGGTTCGCTGTAAGGCGTCGATGATCGGCCTTGCCACTCCACATTCGAACAGCAGATGAGGTAGAGTCTCTAGTGTTAGAATCTGGCAGCAGGAATGATGAACTAACAGCATGCAGGAGTACAAGTAGGAAACCCTAATTTGGTTGTACCCCATATGGGCTACCCCACTACAGCCTAGACAATATGCAGCATACATGTTTGACACACCCCCATAGGCAAAGTGGGGGAGAACAAGGGGTCACACGACCAGTCAAGAGACGCAAAGCAAGCTCAGGGTGGATCTCAACGTCACCACACATTCTGAGCACAAGCAAAGGGCCGCAAGGCCAGTCCACATGCAGAGATATATATAAGCAACAAGAGCAGTACAGTGATCAATACCTAGCAAGAGCAAGCATGCAGGTATAAATATAGAACACAGTACACACAAAAGACTACAGCAAGTGTGGAAACGTAGGCACAAGGCCTAACAAAGTACAAAAGCGCTGATGATCACCAGACGGAAGTGCCTTGGTGAATATATCAGCAGTGTTGGCCCTAGTGGCCACGTGTGCAAGACGAAGCTGACCACGCTGCTGCAGCTCTCGAGCCAGAAAGTACCGCAGAGCGATGTGCTTCGTTCTGTGCTCCAGTCTGTGCTCCTCACACAAGGCAATAGCAGCCTTGTTGTCGACGTACAGCACTGGAGGAGAACGAGGCCGCTCTCCCAGGTCGGTCAGCAGGTAGGTGAGCCAGCGTAACTCCTGAGCAGCCATGGCGGTGGCGTAGATCTCAGCCTCACAACTGGAGCTGAGAACAGAAGACGAGCGAGTAGAACGCCAAGAAACAGAACCAGAGCCAAGGCTGAAAGTGTAACCCTGTGACGACCGCTGCGTAGCCTGGTCGTCAACCCAAGAAGCGTCTGAGTGCCCAGTGAGGACCACCTCTCGCCGTCCTCCAAGCACGAGCCCCATGCCCGATGTACTGCACAAGTAGCGCAGTACCCTCTTCGCAGCATCCCAGTGCACCTTTCGGTGCCGACCAGGAGCCACGTAGCGAGCCAGAAGGCCAAGAGGGTACGCAAGGTCAGGACGAGTGCAAGTCATCAGGTACATGAGGCAGCCCACTAGCTCTGGGTAAGGACCACTCGGCTCTACGGACTCATCCGAAGGCAGAGCTGAGAGCGAGTGACCTATAGCCAGAGGAGTGGCCTGTGCTGAGGACCAGGTGAAGCCGAAGCGCTGAAGGACCTGCTGCACCATGTGTGACTGAGTCAGTGTGATGGTGCGGCGTGCTCGGTCCCGGGTGATCTGCAAGCCAAGGTAGCTGCGCAGCTCACCCAGGTCTGTGCACGTGTGTCTCCTCTGCAGCTCGGACTTCACCAGGGCGAGGGCCTCAGTGTCAGCAGTAGCAAAGACCAAGTCGTCGACGTACACGAGGATATAGAACGGCGGCAGCGAAGTGTCGGTGCGTAGAAACAGTGAAGGGTCAGCAGTCGAAGGCGCAAACCCAAGAGCCGCAAGCGTAGTCCTCAGTGTGTCGTGCCACTCACGGGGTGCCTGGCGGAGACCGTAGACTGGCCGGCGGAGGCTCCACTGGGTACCAGGAGGGAACGTCCCAGTGAAGCCAGGTGGGCGGCGCAGCCAGATCTCCTCGTGCAGGCTGCCCTGTAGAAAAGCTGTGCTGAAGTCAAGGGAGTGAAGCTCGTAGTCACGCTGTGCGGCAACGTGCAGCAGCACCCGAAGAGTAGTCATCTTCGGGGTAGGAGAGAAGGTCTGGAAGAAGTCAACTCCCTCTCGCTGACTGAAGCCTTGAGCAACGTAATGAGCCTTGAAGACAGGCGGAGAACCTGGCGGCCGCTTCACCCTGAAAATCCACATGCCATCGACGATGTTCGCCCCGGGAGGGGGAACCTCATCGACGTAAGTGCCTGTGGACTTCCAGGATGCCATCTCTGCGTCCATGGCTGCCTGCCACTGAGAGGAGTAGGGACCCGCGATCGCCTCAGCGTAAGAGCGCGGTGTGGGGATGTCTATAGCATCCGGGTCTCCCTCAGGGGCAAGCAGCATGGCCACGAGATGAGGCGCAGCGGCTGCAAGAGACTCAAGGTCCTCGTGCCTGTCCTCAAGGACGTCCGTGCCAAGGGCACACTCACCCCCGACGGACGGAGGACAGACAGACTCAGACTCAGCAACAAGACTAGCAGCGTAGTCTAGACGACAGGCAGCAGCAAATTCAACAAGCTCAGCGACTAAGGCAGACGCAGCAGCAGACTCAAACGACGGGTCAGTGACAACAGTGGCTAGCAGACGCGTGACAGTAGGGTGCTCAGCACGAAACCGGTCAGACTCAGGGTCCGCGACGACAGGCAAAGAGGACGCAGGGGGAGACGGAAGAGGAGTACGCTTCGCAGTAGGGGACCGACGCAGGGCTACAAGGCGTGTGCCGGGGACAGCCGGCTGACGCGGACGAGGAACACGACGACCGGTACGACTAGGACGAACAGGCGAGACTGGACGCGACGCAGGCTCACGACGCTCAGCAAGACTACCTGTCTGCTCAGTGTAAGGAGAAGGAGCAGGCAGCGGTGAGCCAGGCTGTAACGGAAGTCCAGTAGACGACGGGAGAGTAAGAACCTGACGAAGAACAGAGTCAGGCGGCGGCAGAGACGACGGAGACGGCGGAGCGAAGAACAGTCGTGGCGGCGCAGCTGCACCAGTACCGGCAGCTCCAGCAGCTCCAGTACCTCCAGCAGCTCCAGCACCTCCAGCAGCAGAACCGACACCTCCAGGCCCAGGGTCTCCAACCCCAGTGCCTCCAGCAGCAGCACCCCCAGAGCCAGCACCTCCAGTCCCAGGGTCTCCAGCCTCCACGTCTCCAGCAGCAGCACCCCCAGAACCAGCACCTCCAGTCCCAGGGTCTCCAGCCTCGGTGTCTCCAGCAGCAGCACCTCCAGACGCAGCACCCCCAGCCCCAGCAGCTCCAGTACCTCCAGTACGAGCACCTCCGGGACCAGCGACTCCAGCACCACCAGTAGACAAAGTACCAGCACCACTCCTAGCTCCAGGGACGTCAGCAGAAGTACCTCCAGCAGTAGAGCCCCGGGCTCCAGCAGCGCGACCCTGACGGCGACCGTACCAGTCGTGCAGCTGCTGTGAGGTGAGAGGCACACGTGGACGAAGGCGGCTACTCCAAGGAGACCGCGCAACAGCAGACTCTGAACCCTCAGCGCCAGCACCCTCAGCAGCTCCAGCGCCAC